CCTTGCTGCCTGAGTGCTGCATTGCAGCTGCGTGCAGCATGGGCCTGATATCCAATAAAACCATTTTTCTTCACATTGGTATGGTTGGAGTACTGCATCCAGTTCTGGGTGCTGCACTTCAAGAGGGTTGTGCCTAGCATTGAGACAGTCCAGAGGAGGGCCACTCGCATAGCCAAGGAGCAGCAGGGCAGGCTATACAAAGAGAGGCTGAAGGGCCTGAACCTATTCAGCCTCCACAAGAGAAGGTTGAGAGGGAATCTGATGGTTGTTTACAAACTCATCAGGGGGGACCAGCGGGAATTGGGGGAGGGTCTGTTCCCCTGGCACCACCTGGGGTTACTAGGAATAATGGCCACAAATTGTTAGAGAGAAGGATCAGGCTGGACATTACTTTACAGTTAGGGCTGCCAGGCTCTGGAATGGGATCCCAAGTGAGGTGGTGCTGTCTCCTACCTTGGGGGTCTTCAAGAGGAGGCTGGACAGATATTTGGCTGGGGTGATATGACCCCGGCACCCGTTCCTGCCTGGGGCAGGGGGTCAGATCTGATGATCTGTTTAGGTACCTTCTGACCCTAAGCACTGTGATACTATCATATTGGACCAATGTATTGGCGCACCTCTAATAAATAGGCAGATTTTCTGTATACTAAAATATCTAAAAAGTAGAAGGCTTTTGCTCCTTCTTATTCATCAACAAAATCTTTATTTCTTCCTTAAGCAAACAGTATGGAAAAAATCCTCTAATGTGACTTTGACTGACTAACAATCTGTTTTCACTGAAACAGGTAAAGAGCTGCAAGGCTTGAACTTGATGCTTTCTTCTTGTCATGTGGATCTTCTCCAGAAACCCTGCCATAACAGAACCTGTAGCCAAGCTGTAATTTATTTTACTGCTGTGACAGATTTTGTGCAAGATGGAGACATACTTACCCAGATTGTGGTGGAACCTGTATCTAGTGACAATTTCCTGTGGAGCGGGTACACCCCTGAAAGCATACAGGTTGAAAATCATCATGTAAAAACTTTATAAAAAGAGATGGCCAGAATCTTAGATGGTATTAAATAAAGCTTCATTTCTTCAGTTGATCTGTACTGATTCACACCAAAATAACAGAGTATTTTTTCAACTTAATTTTTTCATCTAAGTGCAGCTATTTTTCTTTTGAATTGAAAGATATATATACTGATAATATTTTAATGTCATCAGTGAAAAACATGAAATGACATTAGAAAAGAGACAAAGCTTTGGTTGGGATGATCTAGTTGGGGATGGTCTTGCTTTGAATAGAGGGTTGGACTAGATGACCTCCTGAGGCCCCTTCCAACCATAATTTTCTATGATATGATGAATGGATTGATTATAAAATAATCAAAATATTTCAGGATGACATTAAAATATTTTAAGATAAGTAAGTAACAAGTGATATTTATTGCTTGATCTGATAATTGTTACTTTTTATCCCTTTGTTCTGAAGATCATGGTAAAGGATCTGCCCTCTGCTTACTGCTACTCATTTACTGACCCACACATAGTTACATTTGATGGAAGGTAATTATTGGTTGAATACTTTAATTTTAAGTGACTTCATGACGTTACATTAATAACACAGTTAAGCTGCTTGTTGTGCCTTTTCCCTTTCTATTCCATGAATACCGAGGAAATATGTGTCAAATAACATGCTTGTTGTTGATAGTGTTGAAGTGATGTTGTTGCCATGATGGTTCAGGAAATATGCAAGAGGAAAGAGTTTTTGTGGGTAGTTTCTTCTGTTAGACTGACTCTCTAGTTGTGATAGACAGAGACAAGCTTTTGGGCATCAGTACTTTTCCTCAGGTCTCGCTTGCCATTAATATTTATAGTTCTAGTGGCAAGAGACTGTTTTGCTTTATGGCAACAGAATAAAACATATAGGTTCTTTTCTCCTGAAATGAGGCTGTGGAGCAGGTCCAAGACAGACAGACTGGCTACACAACCTGCTGCCTGCATAAAATGATCAGTCACTGGCAGCACACCTATGATTTAAAAAGCACACGTAAGAACATCAGAACACGTTATGGGAGTATTGACTAAGCAAAAGGAGGTGATGCAAGACAGTGTCCACAGCAGGGGATGTTGTAGTTATCCAAGCTAGATTCTCCCAATATCCTGGCAAAGGCGGCACACCTAAATACTTTGAGCAGGTGGGCTGTAGTTCCTGTCTGGGATTTACACAGCAAGTGCTGCATGTGTTAACCTTGTGTGAGGCAATTAGTATCCCATCTTACATATGACTGCAAATTCTTCACTACTAGGGATGTAAAAGATTAAGCATTTAAATTTTTATATGATAAGTATAGCTTCACTGGTAAACAAGGTCTTCGGGTACATCTGATATCTTTTATTAGATCAGCGAAAATAGTTGGAAAAATTCTTCTTTATAAGCCTTCAGGTACAAACACCTTTCTTCAGGCTGAGGAAGCCTCTGCAGTAGGGCTGGGTGAAACAGCACTGTTTCATTTCAACTTCCATTTCCCCATTTCAAAGGGACAGCATTTTGTTTTGTTTCATTTGAAGCACTGTTCTGTTCCGTCGAAACTATTTAAATGCTGTTCAACGTTTCGGCCGCAGGCTATAATGGGGAATCATGAAACTTAGTCACTTCTTGCCTGATTCAGATGAAGATTGCAGGGATGGTATCCTCTTCTGAGGGCACGAAGTCTGCCAAGTTGCAAGGAGATAGGTGTAGGGGGGGTTGTGAAACTGCACCTCAAACTATTGAAAGCAAAACTCATATCACTTGCTGACAATGGCAGCCTCCTGTCATCCTGCATGCAGATATGGGGGCCTGTGCCCTTGGGAGGGCTGTGGAGCTGTGCCCTTGGGAAGGCTGTGGAGCAGACTCCTCCCAGGGTGCTGGCCCCCGGATCTGCATGTGGGATGACAGGAGGCTGCCACTGCCACCTGGGACTGGAGCTGGGCTCAGCCCACGCTGCTGCTGCTGCTGACCCAAGCAGCAGTGGCAACCTCCTGTCATCCCGCATGCAGATCTGGGGGGGCCCATGCCCCCCGAGAGGCCTGTACTCACTGGCAGTGCTGGGAGGGCAGGTGGGGTGGGCCTACAGTGTATTTAGGGGTGGCAGCATCCCCCCTTCCATCACTGTAGTCTGCCCCAAGTGCTAGGGAGAGCCCAGTGCTGCCCCTCCTGCAGCCCGGGAGCAGCAGATGCTGGTGCGCCACACCAGGGGGTTTGGGGCATGATGCAGCCCAGCGGCTGTAGGCAGGTGGCATCTGCTGCTCCTGGGGCTGCAGCAGGACCAGCACCAGGCTCTTCCCAGTGCTTGGTGGCAGCACTGGGAGGGCAGATTGAGCTTCGTGGGGCTGGCAGAACCACTCAGAGTGCAGCCCTGGCTCTTCCCGCCTCTGGGTTGCACTCTGAGCTGCTCTGCCATCCCCATGGAGCTGAGCCTGGTGGCAGGAGGTGGCAGAGAGCCACTGGCCAGGGCTGCTCTCAGAGCCAGGGCTGCACTCCAAGTGGCTCCATCACTGGCTCTCCACCACCTCCCGCTGCCAGGCTCAGCTCCATGGGGTTGCAGAGCCTCCAGCTGCCAGGCTGCGTTCTCCAGGGCTGCGCTCGGAGCCAGGGCTGTGCTCAGAGCAGCTCCACCACTGGCTATCTGCTGCCTCCCGCCACCAGGCTCAGGTCCAAGGGGCTGCGGAGCTTCTCATCACCAGGCTGTGCTCGCCAGGACTGCGCTTGGAGCGGCTTCACCACTGGCTCTCCTGCCACTGGGCTGAGCTCTGTGAGGCTGGCGGAGTTGCTCTGAGCGTAGCCCTTGCTCTCCCCCACCTCTGGCCACTGGGCTGCTTTGAAACTCAAAACATTTTTAAACTTGTGAAACCTTTCAAGTGCCCTCATTTTGTTTCAAAGCTGTGCCGAAGCCTTTTATTTCATTTCAGTTTCACTGCTTTGAGCTTGAAAATGCATCAAAACAGCTTTAAAATGAAACACCCATCAAAATTTTGTGCAGCCCCACTCTGCAGTTGCTCTATGCTCCTTCTGGATGGAATAGAATAGAATAGAATAGAAGTTAGAGGCCAGTATGCAAGAATGCCAGTCAGTGAAAAAGCAAATTGAGGCAGTCAGTGGGGAAGAAACAGGTGGTGCTGGAGAAAGGAATGTAGATCTGGTGATAAGATGTAGCTGTAAATAGTGAGAGGTTATCTGGGGTATCAGATGTTAGGCAGGTTATAATGTGCCATAAATCCAATGTCTATTAGTCCATGATTTTTTGTATCCAGTAGGTTGACAAAGTGAAGTTCATAGGCTAGTCTGCAAAAGGTGCTTTGTAAATTCCCTTTGAAGATTAGAACTGAGAGATCAGAGGGAGTGATTGTCTTGTGAGAAGTGTGCCCCCACAAGTAATTGGGCATTCTTGTCTGATGGATTTTTTTCAGCATGAGTTCATTCTAGTATGCACTTGTTTGGTTTCTTCTATGTATTTTCCATCATGGCGTTTAGTGCACTGGACGAGATGCATTAAATTTCTGGAGGTGCAGATGTAAGATTCAGAAATGCTGATGGTTCTGTTGTGAGGTGTAGTTATTGTGAGAGTGGTGGAGAAATGTTGGCAGGTTTTACATTTCTTGTGATCGCATGGTCTGGATCCATTTGGTGTGTTTTGGACCATAGGCAGTTTGCTTCTAGTGATGTGGTTGGTGAGGTTCAGTGCTTGTTTAAAGGCTATGATGGGTGGTTCTAGGAAGGTCTCTTTAAATATTGTATATTCTTCTGGTATGGGTTGCTGTTGTTCGAGGATTTTTCATACAGGTTCCAGGCAGGGATGATATGTCATGACTAATGGTGTATATTTCCTGGGGATTTTCTTTCTGTACTACAGCAATTATTCACATGGTATCTGGGTGGCTCTTTCAAAAGTGTGATCTCTCTCTAGAGGAGTGTCCTTGCGAGTGAAAGCTCTTGAGATTTGTGAGGTGATGATCACGGGTGTTCTCCTCAGTGCAAATTTGGTGGTATCAGAGGTCAGGGATTGGCTGTATATTACAGCTTTCTTGGTGTGTTTAGGGTGATTGCTGGTTCTGTGCAAATATGTATGTTGGTCTGTGGGTTTCTTGTATATGGTGGTTTGTATTTTACCATTCTGGATAGTGATCATAGCCTCTAAAAAGGAAATGTTGGTGCTGGAGTATTCAAGAGAGAGTCTGATGGAGGGGGGATGATTACTGAATTTCTGATGGAAATCAGAGAGTGCAGGTTTTCAGTCCAAATGATGATGTCATGGATATATCTTAAGTATAGCAAGGGTTGAGGACTGCATCATCAAACCCTTGCTTTACTTAAGATATATTGATGACATCTTCATTATTTGGACTGGCAATGTGCAATCCCAGCACATCTGTGCATGGCACCCAGCTCCATGCACTGCTCTGGGCAGGCAGCTGCAGGCATGGCCCAGTGCCCTGAACGCCCCTAGCCAGGACTAGTTATGTGATATTGGTTAACTGTTTAATCAGTATAATGAGGTTAAATGGATAACTTTTTAAATGCTATTTATGTTTCTCCTTCACACAGCAGCAGCAGTTTCTATGCCTTTAATGGGTATGTTTTTGTGCTAATTTTCACTTTCCCAAGATGAGTAGGCTCAGAACAATAAAGAATCCAGTCCTGGAACCTACATGCAGGACCTTTGCTCTCTGTGAGCATTTTAACTACTAAATTACTGAGCCTTTTTTCACTGATTGAGCCTTTTTTTCATTGATTTATAGTGACATTGCCATGGTGAAAGCATGCTGCCTTATCTGAAAGAGAGCTGATGTTAGGAAAAAAGGTGCAGCTACTTTATTTACAAGTGGAAACAAGTACAGTTTCCATTTGTAACAAGTGGAAATAACAAGTGAGGTTCTTATTTCACAACCATTAGCTAAACCTATCTAATCCCAGTAATGTAGTAGCCATGTGTGTGCCTGGTCATTGTATGTATAGAAAAAAAAATCACCATGCTCCCATTAAGTCTTATACACTGTTCTCAGATTCTGTTAAGTTCTAGACAGTTTTACATTTTTTACTTCGGGTTCCTAGTAAAAAAAAACCCTGGGGGGGTGGGGAAGGGGGGCAGGGAAATCACTATTTATGCTTAACATAAGTTCTAAGTTCTAACTCTCCATGAACATGCACATATTCTGCTTCTGTAGTTTAATCCAGATAGATTTATGATCCTCAAAGCCACTTTTTGAAAGGGTATGTAAACCCTTCAGTAATGCCCACAATTCATCATTCAGCCTCCTTCTATTTCACCTGTGTATATTTAATCCTTTAGAGGCATGCTAAGTGCTCCCATATTAAAGAGTTAAAAGTGTTTCTGTCAGCATTGCCATCTTCTGCTGTTACCCACTCATGTCTTCTTGACTGTTTTACACACACACACCAGTCCCCCACTCCTATTCTTCTTTCCATCCTACTTTCTTACAGGAAATTGTTCCGCTCCTCATGGATTCATCCTTTTTCTTTTTTCTACCTGCTCTGATTTGCAGCTATCACCAGGTAATAAGTGAAAATGCTGATTGTCTAGATTAAGATTATTTTGGGGAGGGGGTTGTATAACAATAACATTTGCCTTTCTTAGTGCAACTGAAAAAAAATAAACCACATGCCAATAAAATATTATAAAATTTTGTATTTAACTGAGAAAAGCTAATAATACAGTAAGTTACTCCTTTTTATTATAATTTGAGATGATGATAATATCACACAATTTTATTTTTATTCCAGACAGTATGATAATTTTAAAACAGGAACATTTGTGCTCTATAAGAGTACATCTCGGGATTTTGAAGTTCATGTGCGCCAGTGGGACTGTGGAAGCCTTCACTACCCAGCATCATGTAATTGTGGTTTTGTTGCCAGAGAAGAAAGTGACATAATTGCATTTGACATGTGCAATGGTCAGCTACATGAGTCTCAGCCACATTTATCTGTAAAAAGTAGAGACAAAAGAAGAAGAAATGTCAGGATCACAGAATCCTATCTAGGAAGAAAAGTCACGGTATGTAGTAAATGTTATTTGCTCTCGCCTTATTTATTTTAGCAAGCACTTCTGCCTCTTCCTGCTAATTTCAGATGCAAGGCCTGTAGTATTTTTTTAAGTTAAAAAACAAGCTAAAACATGTTTTACAAATATAATTCCATTGAATCAAAGGAGCATACTTTCCTCACAGGACAAATGTATAATTCCCACAACTGTTCCTCGAAAACGTGTGGAGACCAAAACATTTTTGCACCTCATTATTAACATTTCAAATAGTCTGGCAAGATAACAGTTTTAATAAATTAGGGACTGAGACCAATATTTTCAAATAAAGGTGTAAATTATCTATAGGACATGCCTAACTAAAATTATTTTGGTTTTCAAAAGGCTGAGCTCTGGCTCTCCCCTTTAGCGTGCCAGACACCCCATGATCATAGTAAAGTATCAGAAAAAAAATGTATGTAGGTCCTACATATAGAGTCTAATGAGGAGCCTAATCTTCCAAAATCTCATGTCTGATGTCTACATGCTGATTTATACATGCAGTGCCATACAAGACGTGTTCATGTGGTCAACTAGACATGCCAAATTATCAGTTAGAAACTAAACTAAAAATTGTGTAGAGGACTTTTCCCTAAAAAATATAACCTTAAAATCATTTATTTAATTTTTCTGAAGCTTTTTTCTTTGTGTATTGAATGCTAGTAAGGGCACAGCAAGCCTGAAAGAAGCAGAATTCTTATATAATAAAGGGCATAGTCCATCTGTCTGTAATGCTCTTGGAGTACACTGATTGATTAGTGAAACAACCAGAGTGCGGAGCGCCACCATGATGGCAGGGATGGAGCCGGGGGGGGGGAACACCACAGCACTCTACCGCCTCCGAGAAACAGGGCTGTGGGGGGGAGGAGGTGAGGCCAGTGGTGCTGGAGGCAGCAGCAGTGCAGGTGCTGGCAGAAGGGAATGGAGGGGTAAGCTTCCCTCCCCCCCTGCTCCTGAGAGGCCGTGGTGGCATGGCATGGTGGGTGGTGGCACTCCATCCCCACTTGCCTTCCCTCTCCCCCCACCCCCAATCATTCTTGATGGGCAATTCACTAGCATAAAAATTGAATGTTAAACCTGCCCTCTTAAATCACTCTTTCAGTATGAAAGACAAGCATAAAAACAAACGCATCTTTTGAAGTGTCTGTGGTAACCAGCATCAAAACTCCTTAAATGCTTAGCACTTATATCAGGAGCCCAAATGTTAATTAGGTACACACCAAGAAATCTCTTTGAGACAGACACGTATCATTTTGCAGTTAAGAAAACAGAAGCTCAGACAAGTTATGTTACTTGAGTTTTCCACTCATTCCTGTCATTTGCTCTAATCTGCACAGTGAATCAAAGTCATGACTTCTTCCAGACACTAACCTCTTCAATCATTGTTTCTCAGAAGAGTAAGACTTGGGTTCTTTTTTTTTGTTTGTTTTTTGCAGTATGCTTGCAAAATTTCTCTTTTTCACTTGTATAGAGCTTACAAAACAAATGGGTTTAACATAATATGATTGTATCCTTTACATGCCTGCTACAATTTAATTATCACCTTAATTTTCTAACACAACATTTCCAGTTTAAATCAGCAGATAAAGTGTTCCGAGCTGCAAAAATATGGGTAAAATGTCATTTTTTCAATAAAAAACTGCCTATTCGAATATGCAATTACATCTATCCAGAAATATTCATTCTTAAAATACATGACACTTCATTTTTCATATAAATGACAAAGATGCTTGAAGTAAAAATATAGGCTGCCTATATACATGCTTGGAGGTGTGTGTGTGGGAGGTGGGGAGGCAGAGGTGGCATTTTGATTAAACTGGCTCCCAGACAGCTACTCTAATACTCTAAAATGGCTCACTATCATGCATATTAAAGACCGCCCCCCCCCACACACACATTTCAAAATGGCAGTTAGGGTGCTTTAACTAAAGCTCATTCAACGAGCTTTAGTTAAAGCAGCCCCGTGGTCATTTTGAAATGTGGTGGGCTTAATACCCATGCTGCTAAGACGATGCTGGAGCATTCTAATTAGAATGCTAAGGAGCATGTCTATAGGCACCAATAATAGCTCTTAAAGATTCTTGGGAAGTATTCTTAAACATATAGGCTCTGGTTCTCAGGTAGTAAAGATAACTTTGTGTGATATAACCAGCAGATGAGCAAGCTACAAGATGAATGCATGATACCTTTATTACATGTCCCCCTATTGCAAACCTGCAGGCAGTATTGACATGTATTATTAACATTTCCTTATCTGCTATCTTCACTACCTGAGAAGCTGAGCCTAAATGTTTAAGAATACTTCCCAAGAATCTTTAAGAGCTATTATTGGTACCTATAGGCATTCTCCTTAGCATGTAGGTTAGCAAAATGTCGCCCACAGGCCAGGTATGGCCCACAGGTGCTCTGTCTAGTCAATGGCAGGTCCTGCCTGGCCCAGGCACCACCTGGCTGTGGTGCACCCTGATGCCTCTTGGGCATGCAGCAGGGCTGGGGCAGCTCTGCAGCTGGACTGCCTTTCTAGGCAGTCCAGGCAGCAATGGCTCCTTCTGGCTGCTGCTGTCACTGGCCCCAACCCTGTGGTATCAGCGGCGACTTGTACACAAAACCCCAACCCAGTGCACCCTGCAACTGCTCCAGACTCACCCATCCACGCTCAGTGGCAGTAGCAGCAGCCAGGCAGAAAGTGTTGCTTGGCTTAGGGTGAAAGCAGCCCCTCCCCATCGCCACTGCTGGGCAGTTCTTAGTACAGCCTCCCAGATCCCACGCCATGCCAGGTTGCCCTGCAGCTGCTCTGCACTGTCATCACTGCCTCTCTGGGCAGCCCAGAGGCATCTGTGATGGTGGCGGAGCTGCAGGGCAGCCCAGCAGAGTATAGGCTTTGTGTGGCTGCACCAAGAACTGCCCAGGAGTGGCGAAGGGGATGGGCTAATTTTCCCCTGTGCCAAGCAACAGTTTCTGCCTGGCACAGGCAGTGCTGCTGGTGCTGAGCCTGGACGGTGAGTCCGGAGCAGGTGCAGGTCCCCGCCAGTACCACAGGGCTGTGGCCAGCAGTGATGGCAGCTGGAAGGAACTGCCACTGCCTGAGCTGCCTAGAGGCAGTTCCACTGCAGAGCTACTCCAGCCCTGCTACGTGCCCAGGGGGCATCAAGACGCACCTTGGCCGGATGGTATGGATTAGTGTAGGGCGGGCTGGGGCTGTGCACTGTTGGCGGTGGTGGGGAGGTGCCACAGGGTGCCTGGGCACCAGGCTGTTATAGGGTGGGGAAGATGCTGGCCAGTTATGGGGGGCTCCCATGCACACCCCACCGTATCCTTAAATCCTTCCCCACAAACCCCACAGCCACATTGTTCCCCACACAATCACACCCCACAAACACTGCATACACTTACACCCCCCATACACACACCCACCTGCCTCTGGGGGGAGCCCCGCTCACGGCTACATGCAAATACCCCACCACACATGTGCACCCACACATCCCCCAGCAATCCTCCTCCACATACCTCACAGACCCCCACAAACAACATACCCACCCAAATCCACACATACCCCAACGCCCTTTCCCACACCCCCTCCCCACACATTCACATCCCCCCCACGAATCCCATACCCTCCCACAACCACCCACAATATACAAGAGTAAGACTTCATGTTGAGCTGTTGGGATTTTTTATCGGGGATTTTGCAGTTTTTAAATAGGGAACACAAGAATTCCTGCTCATGAGGCAAATGGCAGGACCCAGGCAGAGGAGCCTGCTCAGGGCTGGCATCCAGGAGCCAACTGGCAGTCAAAAGAGGTGGCTGACCTCCTGGACACTTGGGGCTAGGAGGATATGCTTTGACAGTGCAAAGCAGGCCACCACACTGAGAAAATCTTCCAGGCAGTAGCTCCACAGATGGCTGGGCTGTCGCACATGTGGCAGTAGTACCACACAAAGGCCAGCAGGTCAGCTACAGCCCAGTGGAAGCTGGCCCAGAGATGCAGAAGCCTCTGTTGTGGCCGTGCAGTCCCCATCCAGATCTGGCAAATGGCACAGCCATGGGGCCACGTGCTGTCTCAGGGGGCAGTAGGTCATAGCTAGCCAGGCAGCAGCCCCCACTGCCAGACTGCTGCAGTGGATAGAAGGTGCAGGGAACTCTCGGTTAGGGTTGCTTTAGCAGTCCAGCTGGCACAAGGGGTAGTGTCCCCAGATACCAACTGGCTGGATCCCAGAAGCTCCTGAGAGCAAGTACCCCTAAGCTGCTCTCCAAGGCAGCTTTTTTATACTGCTGGGGCCAGCACAGGGCAGGTTTTTATATTGCTGAATCTAGCACAGGTGATGGCTCCAGGCTGTAACTCCCTCTGGCTGCAGATCCAGGAGGGGCTGGGCAGGGTTGTTTTGCTCCAAGTGGCACAACTTGTCCCACACCAAAGTTCATGACCGGGCATATGTGCTGAGGCAAAAATCCTCAGCTCAAATTTGTGCTGCTTCTATTTGAGCTGCTACAAGCACACATGCCTGCATGTGTGGACGCACCTGTAGAGTTAAATTGGAATTCTTAATAGACCTGGCAGTTACATATTTGTTTCCCTTGGTTTTTTTAATTTCGTACTAATTGTTAACCATTTCTTTTTAATACAGTAACAGTATAAATTTATTTTTAGATCTCATTTTCTTCTGGAGCTTTCATTCGGGCTGATGTGAGTGAATGGGGAATGAGCATGACTCTCAGGGCACCCAGTTCAGACTATAAATATACCATGGGGCTTTGTGGCATATTTGATGGATATGCAGAGAATGACTATCACACTCGGAATGGGATGGAAATCAAAAAGGACTCTAATGCTCATCTTACCTTTATTAATGAATGGAGGTAACAAGTACATTTATTTCAATTAAATACCAATCTCTTAAAGACATTTATTCATTTTCAGTTCAGTGTTTCCCCTACATGTAAAACTTGTCTTAGTTGATATTCAGTTAAGGAAAGGAACAAATGCAACTTATTTTGTGGCAAATTGGAATTAAAATGATAAATTAATAACTGATTATTAGTTGCTATTTAATATTTGCTTAAAGGGTATTTAACATGCTAATCAGGTGAACATAAACCAATACATTTGTTAATGTATTTTAATTCTATAGCTGTAGTTTATTCTCATGGTTTTGTAGTTTATGTAGGACACTCAAATCTGTACAAGATTGATTTAAAGTATTAAAATCAGGGGTATAGACAACAACTGTGAAATTCTAGAGAAAACTAAACTAAAATATAACAATTTGAAATGTTTTAGTTTCTCTTTTTCTTTTATAGAATTCCACCAGGGGACAGTTTTTTTGACAAAATACCGGCTCTTTTAACTTCATCCAAAAAAATACCTTTCTGTAGTTGTACAGTTGATGATAGTGATTTATATCAATCAGTGAATAGGTTGAATTCTGTTTCTCAAGCAGAATTTGCTTCATCTTGCAAAGAAAATGAAAATGTCAGGTTTCCCTCTTTGATACCAGGACTGGATGTCACTACTGAGTATGTTGGCCCTGCTGATCTTCTCAGGGACTTAAGCAGACATACATTTGCACATGAAAAAGCTTCTTCGGAACTTCTGTTAGGAGAGGACCAATTTCAAACCAAATTTCAGATAGCACCTATAGCAGAAGAAGTTGTCTCTACAAATGTAAAGGGAGACATTGAAATGGAAAAACAAGGAGTATTGAGCTTGGAAACTCAAAGACACACACAGGCATTTAGCGGCCAAGTCTACGACAGACAGCCTCTTGAAAGTAGATGGAAGCGCCAGCATTATTATGAATACCTTCCAGTATTCCCATACCAGAGTCTTAGCCAAACAGATGTAGAAGGTTTTAGCTATTTTTTTCCAGAAGATCACACAACTAACATGCACCAGCATTTTTTGCCTTCTTGGCCCACACCTTCTGGCCTCACTGAATCCAGTGCTTTGGAGTTGTGCCAGCAAACAATAGCTAACTCCAGCATAGGAAGATCTTGTGCTGCTCTTCTTGACAGGAGGATAGAAGATACAGTAGATATGTGTGTAAAAGATTTATTGCTGAAGGATGATCTCAGCTGGGCAGAAGCAGGTGTGGCCTTGTTAGAAAACGAATGTGAAAAGAGAATTTTGGAAGAAATAAATTACAACACACAAGAATTTCAGGAGTCAGTTGAGGACCTTCTTTTAGCATTAAAATGCCCCAATCTCTGCAGCGGTAATGGAGAATGTGTAGAATGGGGCTGTGCATGTTTCCAAGGCTTTAGCTCCTATGATTGCAGCTTTCTGTCTGGTAAGTAGGACTGTGCAATACAATCTATTTAAGTAGGATTCTTGTTTTTCTTTTGCCTTGTCAGTTTGTATCCCTACACTGTTCCTAGTCATTGGCCATCAGCTTTTTTTCCAATTTAAAAAACGTATTTGTTATCTATTCTTGTTTCCCAAGAACAAGCCTTAGGGTAAAGTTATGTATTACACTTGTAGCATATTAAGCATCCACACATTAAAGCTCTAACTGACGCTAAGAGCCTCTGAGCATCTAAACATTACGCTACTTCAGGTGAGATTTAACTCTGATTCTACCTAGCTTATGTTAGGGTAACATCAGTATGCCCCATGGAGATAAAACAAGCAATTTGCAGACCTCCAGCATCCTCAGATGCACTGTTCCCAGCCCCTCCTCCTCCCCTCCAACTCAGAGCAAAGATAGAAGCCAGGTGTCCTCTAGTGGCAAATCAAAGCAATGCCAGCAAGAAACTGTATTAACATGTGACTGCTCACAGTATGTGCTAACTTCAACACTGCTTAACTTTCCACAAATTTAGTATGGTCTAAGTGTATCTTTTCCCTTAGAGTCAGTTTCTGATATGTTTGATTTAAAAAGACTTACCACTCAGTGAATTTATAGTGCACACTGCTAGCATGTTTTATATAATATATATTGTATAGTGTCTCCTGTTAAAGATATAGCCGTCTTATACATCCATTCCTATTCTCTACTTCCCAAAGGGCCTGTAAAGAATTCTTGCATCAAATAGTAATTTGATGCAAGAATATTTAATTTACTTCCATAAATGCAAACCATTTAGGAGCAAGTCTTCTATATTAGAAAGAAAACAAGTAGATTGGAATGGTAGAATGGGCTACAGATAATGCTGGCCAAATCTTTTCCATGAGGAATAAAAAGATATTTTATTTTATTTTCAGTTAATTTATTTTATTTAAAAAATCACCTCTACTTAAAAAAGTAAAACCTCAAAAACTGAAATGCGTCATTTCAGGTCAAATAAATATTCTGTTACAAGCAAGAGCTGCAGATTTAAACAAAACATTTCAAATGACCTTAAAATAAATTGGGAGGGAGGGAAAGAGATTTTCTTCATCAAAAAAGTTTCCATTTTAAGCTAAAATATTTTCTTACAATATTATTTTCAGCTATCAAACATTATCCAAACAACTCTAGCTATAGACTCCTTTCTACTTCCATTCTTTCTAGGGCTAAAAGCAGAAACTGCATTTGTCCCAAGATAAATCATTTTATTCAGGACAGTGAAATTGTTCAGATAGCCATGTTTTTTGTCCCAGGATAAATTCTAAAAAGATTGATAGGATAATAAGTACTATCAGTTTATCATGGGACATTGTAAGGTGTATCTAAAAGGTTATCCCAGGATTTCATAATTGAATCAATAGCAAAAAAGTATCTGTGTATCCCTGTTCTGCCACTCGCAAAACTCCGATTAGAAGAGCAATGTGTATACACGCTGATCCTGAGATATTTTTATTCTAGGACAAACACAGGCACAAGCTGTCCTGGGACAAATGCATCATCTTCCTAGCCTAGTTGTACCATTTAAGTCCTTATTCTCATTTATATTTTATGCTGCTAGACTACTGTAAAAAAGTGATCTAACTAGATCAAACCCAACATATTTTCAGCTACATCTTAGTAATATTAATTGTACTTTTCTCCCCAACTGTATTTTCTAAAGTATAACTAATCTGAGAAGTTTTGAATTTTAACGTCATGAAGTGTTCCAGTTAGCTGCTTTCTGTGACTGGACTAGTAACTTTCATCTAGCAGACATACTGTATTTATGTATCTCTCTCCGGTATCTGCTACATGACAGTATTATGGTCTTTTAAAAATTGTATCTGAAGTCTCTCCAAACTATTTTGAAAAACAAAATGAAAATTTCAGATACTGAAGACATACCATGCCAGACAATATTATTTCATTTTTCTTCTAAAATATAAAGAGACAGCTATAGATATATATTTATTACATAATTTTAAAGTATGATAATTTGTCGACTTACATTTTCTACCCTTTTCCAACCTTTACGTCAAAGATCAGATTCCAGAAATCACAGAGCTGGAGAATGATGGATTGTGTGACATTCGACAGTATGACTGCACATCAGTGAGAGCTTTCGGTCAGAGATTCAGAGAGTCAACAAGTCTGAAATGTGAAATTATCAAATTGCAGGTAGATCAGTTGGACACCAACACCAGATTTAAGTTGTCCAAAATGCTGTGGTTAATTTCTCATCTTGTGGTCAAAATACAGGACATTTCTTTTAATGCATGTATGGCTTATCCCTGCACTAGCTGAAAGAAAAGGCACTCAGCGCTTCACAGCAGGACCTCATCTCCTTGTAGGTTTGCCATTTTCTCAATGGAAGAGAAAAGCAAAGCATAAAAGGGTTGTTTAACAGCTGAGAGAGGAGCTAAAAACGCACAGCAGTCAGTTATCAAACCAGCATGCTGAGATAGAATCCTATACAAGCACAACCCTAAAGATGGTGATAAAGAAAGGTGCTTATAGGGACTGAAGTTCCATTATTTGGAGGAAAAGGCAGAGATTCTTTAAGTCTGCTATGACTAGAAATGGACATTGTCAAACAAAGTGGATCAGCTGTACTGGATATGCCCCCTGGCACGGGATATGTCCTGGCACAGCTGATCCATTTCATTGGATGAAATGCATATTACCTTTTGTCACACCCATTGATGAGGCCAAAAGGCAGCATATTCTCCTGGGATATGAGGGGCCTTATGCTTCATGCTCTGGAATTCCTGCACAAAATGAGGCCCCTCAAGCCCTGGGAGCACCTGCCTGCAAAGGCGGATTAAGGTGGAACACAAACACAAAATTGGAGGCCTTCTTCCCCATGGGAGCTGGGCCCTTTCCTATCCTTGTGCTTGTGGGGGGGAGATTGGGTGGACCCTGCCAGGCTGGGGGTGGGGAAGCAGATGCCTGTGTCTCCCTGCTGTTCACATCCCCTTCCTCCCTACGGCCAAATGTAAACACGCACACACACACGTGCATACTGACAGGTGCTCACTCTACTCTCACTCACTTTCTGCACATGGACACATAGACACAAACACTTTCCCTACCATGAACAGAGACACGCACATGGGACGCATACGCACACACAGAGACAGACAGAGACACATTCACACCCAGACACACACCTTCCCCCCGCACTGGACCTCTCCCCTCCCCTACTCTCGATCACCCTGAGGCAGCCCCCACCCCCGCCGCCCACCCCACTATGAGCTGCCTACAGCTCTGTCTAGTTCCCTGCCCAGCCCCTATTAGACTTACCTGCAGGGAGCTGCTGCCTAGCTGTATCCTGTGCTGCCACACAGATGCACAGGGCCCAGCCGGGTTGAGCCAGGAGTGCTGTGTCTCTGTGGGCGGGCAGCGGCGCTAGGAAGGGTGGCTAGGGAGAGCCAAGATGAATTTTAGGGTAGCCATAGCTTCCCAAGGCCCCCCCAGTGCCCACAGAGGTACAACGTGGCACTCCCAGCCTGGCCTGGCCCCAGTCCTGCCCTCTCACCCCATTGGTGAAGGGGGCCTGCTCCCAGCTTGCAGGGAAGCAAATGCAAAAACCACATTTTTAAACTTGGCACGGTTTTTGTCTCTCTGCTGGGAGACGAAACCCAGACCAAGTTTAAAACTGTGACTTTTACTTCCTTGCTGATGAGGATCCCAGGGGCCCTGCATTGGTAGTGGCCCCTGGCCCAGGCCCAGCTGGCCTGTCTGTTAATCTGCCTATGCCTGCCTGTCTATCCTCTCTTACAGAGAGGCACCCTGGGGATCTCAGGACATGTCTCTGTAAGCAGGGAACTTCAACCTTTCCCTGTTTGAGATTTGCCCCTGAAATCCTAGTAGCACATCTCTGCAAGTGGGAATCCCCAGCTTTCCCTGTTTACAGACCCATACCCTGATATTCCCCAGGATATGTCTCCGTAAATGAAGAAAGCCAGGAAAGCACTCCTAGGGGTCAGGGACTTGATTCTTCACAAGAATTCCCTTAGGTTCAGGGGGGCAATCCTGCATTGGGCCCTGAGACCAACTGCCTGAACAGGACCAGCCCTCTCAGAAATGTTTATGGTAGCACAAAGGCAGTGTATTTTTCCATCCCACAACTAACTCAGGATTGGAAATTGAGAATTATGTTCCATAAACTAATACAGTGATGGAAGAAATTTATATAGAATTTAGGTTCAGTTACCTATGCTGGCCTTTGTCTAAAAGAGCTGATTAATTTACAGATATTGGAAACCCTGAATAATTTAAGATGCAATTAAGAATTAGCCTCTTGACCTTGGATAAAAAACTAAGAAAGCCCCGAAGTAAAATTCCTTTTTATTAATGTAGGTTTTTGTTTGTAGTACGTTCAGCAGGAAACTTTCATTATTGAGGCAAGAAACCTTTACTCAACTAGTTTCTACAGTTGCTAAGATTATTTTGACAGATTAGACAATGCAGGCTATTGATTTTTCTTGTGCACAACATGGATCCACTCATCTGCAAGTTGGGTTGAAATGAGAAAGTTGAGAGTAAATTTATACTCCATTAGGTTAAAAGCCCTACAGATCAATCTCCCAGTGATGCAATTATTGGGAGTTCGCTTATCACAGTTTGAAATGTCTCACTTTCATCTCTTGGCAAGGTTTTCTGTTATAACACTCACTGTGGTTGCACACTTGGTTACCAGCTACGAAAACTTTATGGTTAATCACTTTTATTGACAATCCTATCACTGAATAGAGCCAAGTCAGAAAATGGGTAGCACTGTTACTATCTCCACAGGACAGAATTTGATGAGGAAGCAGAAAATATCAAGTACTGAAATGTTTTACTTTTAGAGATGTATGTACTTATAATTACACTGCTGTAAATCAAGACTAACCCACTAATGTAAGAAGAATTACAGCTGTGTAGAATTGGTACATTAGATTCAGCCCTGAAGTGGCTTGGGACAGACCTCTTTACTCCATGCATCAGAGAAGGATCATTTTAGGAGATAGTTTTTAATGGAAAATATATACATTAGAACATTCCATGTGTCAAGCCCCAGCAGTGCACTTCTGGGAAGGCATCAGCCTTTACTTTGGCCCAGGAGTTGTGCTAGGGTGGCAAACATGGCCAGCAAGTCTATCATTACACAGATTGAATAGCAAAATCTATTCAGATTATATGGGAGATGAGAGAGTTTAGCCAAATGAAGCCAAATAGAGAAGAAGATTCAGTCAGGTTTGCACAAAGATGCACATGCATTCATGCAATGTTTGGAAAATGCTTTGAATAGTAGGCCTGTACGAAGCAGGCCTGTACGAAGCAGGCAGTATTTGCTTCAGATTCAGATTTGACTGGTTTGGAGGGACAGTGATTCGATTTGGAGATTCGAATCACTGTCTTGATTCAGTTTGGCCAATTCAGATCCGGAGATTCAGTGCTGCTTTGGAGATTTGGCCACAGTCTAAATGGGCAGCAGTTCTCACCACGCTGGACACAGCTGCCTCCAGCTGGTAAGTCTGTTGTGTCCCACCTTTCTGAGTCCCGCACCCCCACCGCAGCTGGACAACTTGTCCCAGCCCCAAATCCCTCTCTCCCCAACACCCTTTCCCTTCCCCCTCTGCCCACCACAACAGACTTACCAGCTGGAGGCAGCTGTGTGTCCAGCCTGGTGAGGATTGCTGCTTGTTTAGTCTATGGTCAAATCTCTGAATTGGGCCGAATCTTTTCTGAATTGATTTGGAGGCTTCTGATTTGATTCAGAGCTTTTAATTGGTCTCCTGATTCAATTTGAATTCAGAGATTCAGTCGCTGAATCAGGCTGAATCTCCTCTGAGTTTAATCAGCTACAGAAGCTTTGCAAAGCCCTAGACACTTGACCTTTTAATTATCATTTTTTTTTATTTTGGTATGTTTCTGTAAGAAATGAATACCTAGAAATCCCCAAGGTTAGTAAGAAAAGACTACTGGGGAAAATGGCTGTTTCACATTTCAAAGGTTATGAGGTTAAATATTATGAATAATATATTTTAATCAATATTTCCATTGATTTTTCCTTCAGTGCAATTATAGGTGAATACCTTCTTGCTCATTTAGTTTTTTTTAAAGGAAGAGAAGAAAGAAAATGAAATGCTTAATATCTGAACCAAAACTATTCACATGTGAAAATAGGCAGTTAAAAAATTACCAGATCAATTTAACTTCCATTTGATGCTTACATAGACAGTCTTGGCAGAAAAAGCATGGCTGCCTAAATAGTGAAATTATATTTGATAAAAGATTAATTTTTTTATGGGATTCTAGTATTATTGTGAGAACTAAAACAAAAATAAGGTCTTCTCCCCTGGAAAAGGAAAGAAAACCTTTAGAGTAATTTGGATATAGCATGAGTCATCTCTTTCAGTTTATCTAATTAGATATACATATATATAATTAAGTCCTGTAATGTATCTAATGAATATATATGTATATAATTATGTGTGTATACATACATAACATGATATAAGACACTTGTTAATCTAGTTGGAAGAATCTGTATATGTATACACCCCCCACCCCTCCGGTATATCTACTAGAGAATGCCCCCTGCTAGCATGATCTTCTCATGGCCAGTTACCCCAGGTTTAGGGCCATTATCCTTTGTCAATGCAGTGTAAAATGGCTACACTGCAGGGATGAGTTTGTGCCTACAGTTCCAAATTAGGACTTCTAATATGGCATAAAAGAGTTCAGCTGAACTATATTCTTAAGTAAATTATAAAACATGGTGCATTCCAAAGTAGGTCATAAAAGACGTTTTAGAGTTCTTTGTACCGTAGCATACAATACATATTTTCTCCAAGGGTGTTTTTAGAATACCTTGAACTGAAATTGGATTTTTCCTCCTTGAATTTAGTACAGCCATAGCAAATGGATCTTTGGAGAGCCTGTATTTATGCCAGCTGCCTTCCAAAACACGGGGACTGTTGATTGCCAACTACCAACTGATGGTCAGCGATCTGATGTCATGGATGATCTGGTTGATGAGAAACCTATTGCAAGGTGGCAGATTAAGGTACCTACAACACTTTTTAACATTGACTTAAAGAAATAATTATTATGAAAATTGTTTTATATGCTGCCATGTGCAAACAGAATCCTTTACCAAAGATACCTTATAACTTACTGTAATACTACGGTACATTTACAGATTTCTAATGATGGATTCACTTATAGCAACCCCAAAATAATGACATTATTTGATGGAGCTTGTCAAATATGTGACCTGAGGACAGATGGGTTATGTACATTAAAGGTATCTGTTTCTTTATTATTTTTATATTGAAAATGTGCATCTTTGGGTACTAATATGAAGATTGTCTGAATTCTTGGTAATCAAGAATTTTACTTACGTGGCCTGTTAGAGTGCATAGCCTGCTTTTCTTATATCCAGTAGGCATTTTCATAGAATAATAGAAAAGTAGCCCTCAGGAGGTCATCTGGTCCAACCCACTGCTCAAAGCTGCATCATTCCTAACTAAATGATTCCAGTCAAGTGTCTGTCTAACCTACCTTAAAAACTTGCAGAGAGAGATTCCACAACCTCTCCGAGTAGCCTGTTCCATTGGCTAGTAGGGCTGTGTGAAGCTTCACTGGCTGTTTCAACTTGTTTCAAGCTCAAAACAGCAAAATTGAAACAAAATGAAGGGCTTTGAAACAGCCTCGAAATGAAATAAGGCCAGTCGAAATGTTTCAAAAGTTTCTGGGGGGCTCAAGGAAAGTTTCAGGGCTGGAAGCGCCTGGGAACCAAGCCTGGTGGAGGCGAGTGGAGCGCATCCCTGGGGCTGCAAGCACCTGGGAACTGAACCCAATGGAGGCAGGGGGAGTAGAGCCCCAGGTCTTCACCCTGCCTCCCTCCACTGTGCTGCAATCACCTGAGAACTGAGCCTGGTGGAGGGAGATGGGGCACAGCCCCAGGGCTCCAATCCCTCTCTGCCTCCACCGGGCTCTGTTTCCAGGCACTTGCAGCCCTGTGGAACTGATCCTGCTGGGGGGAAGTGGAGTGCAGCACTGGGGCTGCGCTTTGTCTCCCTGCACCGGCTCAGCTCCCAGCACCAGTCCCAGGCAGCAGCCTCCCACCCACACCTTCGGGAGGCTGCAGGGCTCTGTCAGACTTCTCCCTGGGGTGCAGGCCCCGATCTGCCTGCAATCACGGGAGGCTGCTCCTCCTCCAGTTTCGTGCTTCCCCATTATAGCCAGTGGGCAAAACAGTGAAACCATTTCGACTAAATGAAATGGAACAATGCTTTTGAAACTAAACTAAACTCAAAACGCTGTTCCATCGAAACAGATGTCAAAGCGGAATGGTGCTGTTTTGCACAGCCCTGTTGGCTACCTACCTTTGTAATACGAAAATTCTTCCCAATATCCACCGTAAATTTCCCTGGCTGTAATTTGAGACCATTGCTTTTTGTCTTGTCCCCTGCAGCCACAATGAATAGTCTCTCTCTATCTTCTTTATAATCATTCTTCAGGTGTTTAAAGATTGTTGTCAAATCATCCCTTGCTTTCTTTTTTCTGGACTAAATGATTCTAGTTCTTTCAAACTTTCCTTGTAAGTCATATTTCCAGACCTTTTGGATGCCCAAAAACCATGAGCAAAAGCTTAGAGGCTTGGCTGAGGCAGATTTGAAAACTTTATTCTCAATATCATTCCCCCCAAAAAACTAGAATACATTAGTAAGTAAATTATGTATTAAACACAGATTGAGTAGAGCTGGTCATGTTTTAACTGACATTAATAGTACATAAAGTTCTATTGTTTGAAAATTGATAGAAAATTCTAAAGCTTTGAAGAATTACCTTGTTGTCTCTCTTAAGGAAAAAATATGCAACATAGATGGACTTTGTTTTGGAGAAGGAGATACAAATCCTACCAGCCCCTGCTTACTCTGCAGACCTGACATTTCAAAGTTAACTTGGTCAGTTGCTGAAAGTAAGTTCCAATTAGTTCCAGAGCCTCCTTATAAAAATGACTTTACAACCCAATACTCAATATCAATTTTATGAGTACTGCATTCAAACACATATCACACTCATTCAAATATATGTCACGGATGCATGCACTCAGACAGAATCATAACCCATTTCCAGGTGGCCTAGTAGCTTTGGGATTTTTTTATGTAGCGATACAGGCCTTTTACAGACATTCGGCTTCTTCTGGGAGTATCACTACTGTCCCAGGAGAGCCATGGCCATACAAAAGTTCAGGCTGTTTCTCCTCAAGTGAAAATGGCTGTTCCAGGAGAAAAAACTTTGGAACAACCAGGGTTAAATCATTCCCAGGACAGTTTCTCTGGGGACAGCAAATGTCTGTAAATACTGTAGCTTCTTTCAGAAGAGAACATGGCCTTCCAGCACCCCTTTATCCTCTCCTCCCTCTGGAAAACACTATGGGCACCTTTGGTGTGTTAGTTCAAAAGCACACCACTGCCATTTTTCTCAGTGCTGACGTGCATTTTGCCATTTATGCAAACGTATGCGACACAGCGCCAGGTGCTTTCACAAGTGCCCAGTGCTGCGTCGCACACATGTCTAAAATGCCTTATGTCACTTACTCAGTTCTGCTGCTCCAGCAGGGAGCAAACACCCCCCCTTCACAATTCCCACATTGTGCTGTATGGAAACACAGACTGACCATGGGCAGGGTGGTTCAGCCAATCACAGACACCCTATACACTGCTACCATCTGTTGCCAGGCACACTAAGGGAGCCTGCAGAACATACGGAGATGTATATACAGCCACCTCCATTCCCCTGTTCCGCTGTCCTCCCCAGCTGCACGATATCAGCACTGCAAGCTTTCCACTCTTCAGGGCCTTAGCATTCAAATGTCTGTACAGGAGTCACTGGATAAATTTCTTTAGCAGGATAACAAACCTAGGAGAATTCTCCCACATTAGTTGCATTTGTGCACACAGCCTCAAAGAGTTCTTCTAAACCGGAGGAAAAGCAAGGGCAACATTGGACCCTTGCTAAACCAGATGAGACAACTGACGACTGACACCCAGGAAGAAGCCAACCTACTAAATGGGTACTTTGCATCAGTCTTTCACCAGTCCCACAGGACGCCTCTGCCCATCATGGGACAGGGAGGCCCGAATGAGGGAGATTCCTTGCCCTTCATCAATGCTGACCTCATGAAGGAACACCTTGAGAGGCTGAACACCTTCAAGTCAGCCGGCTCTGACAGTGTACACCCCAGGGTACTCAAGGAGCTGGCTAGCATCATAGCTCAGCCCCTGGCACAGATCTTGGAGAACTCCTGGTGCTCTGGTGAAGTGCCCAAAAACTGGAAGAAGTGTGGTGCCTATCTTT